TGTTGCTACTATTGGTTAATAAAGAAGCTGTTTTGGCCTATGGTAAGGCAGGTTATAGCCAGGTGAGATATCCAAGAAAGATACAGGGAGAAGAGGTAGAGTCAGGGCAGATGCTATCCAGCTGCCCAAGGAGCAAGATGCCAGCAGACTGGTAATGTCATGGCTATGTGGCAATATTTAGTATAATAGAAATGGGTTAATTTAAGATGTAATAGCTAGCTAGCAATAAGCCTGAGCCATAGACCAAACAGTTGGTAATTAATATTAAGCCTCTGACTGGTTGTTAGGGAACAGGCAGGCAGGAGAGAACTCAGGAGGCAGAGGCAGGCAGGTCTCTATGAGTTCTAGGTCAGCCTACATAACAGGTTCCAAGACAGCCAGGGATCATAGAGACACTGTCTTTAAAATGTCTATATTTTAAAAGTAATCATTGCAGCTGGCTCAGGTAAAGGCATATTTCCAAGCCCACCAAGGCCCTTCTACCCTGACCTACTAGGTGCATCTGAGTTGAATCAATGAATGCCACGGATTCTTGAGCATTGGAGTGTAGGCAGAAACAGCACATGCCATTTCTAGGCAAGACTCATAAACATCTCCTATATGTCCTGAATTCCCTCCTTCTATTGTGATGGCCCCAGAGACTGTACGAAAGTGTTAAGTGTTGAAAGACTGACTCTGCAGGTCAGGAGTAAATGGATGGGGCAGATGCAGCCCTTCTGTCTCCCCAGGTCTTCACTGGATCCTACAATGACTGTGGTACATCTTTATTGGGGGCACGGCTGAGATTTGGGGGTCGCTTTTACCATTGGTCTTATCATCATGTCACTTCCGCCATCTACTTGTCTTGACCCCTGGTCTCTAAAGTCACTTTTGAACTTTCCCATCAATGTCAGTAACTCCCTTTTGTGGACATCCTGCCTCCTAAGAAATTCCTTCCTTACCCGCCCCCCAAGACACATACCAGACATTTTTCCTCCTCTGTAGTACTAGGACTACACCCATTGAACTATCTTCCAGACAACTGAGCTAATGGTCTTCTGAGGGCCTCCTCCTCTCTACCCTGAATTCCTCACGGAGGAACCTCTGATGTTCTCTGGGGGCACATCCTTGTTTCCCGAGGCTCCACACCTTAGTCTTGGTGTTACTCACAAGCCTCCTCTATACCTCACTCTCTCTTGAAACACCTTAGCATACCTAGTTGAATCTACCCTGTCCTCTGTTCGCATCCCAGGGCCAACATCATGACCACCTACCACAGCCGCTTAGCTGACCCCAGTTTGCTCATTTCCCTTTAAATCCTGTTTTTACCCAGTACCACAATATAGTACTCCCTCTCTCAATCCTTGTCTAGCTCCCCATAGCACATAAATAAACTGATTGTCATAGATAAACACCTTGTCAGTTCCTATCAGCTTTGTTAGCTCACTGAGGTTTCTTTAAAGCCTCACGTGTGTTCCTAGCCCTGAGCCTTGGCACCTTGTATCCAGAAAGCTCTTTGAAGGCTTCTAATATTGGTCATCATTCTGAAGAACCAGCCTGCCTCCATTTTAGGCTTAAAAGACATCTTATAGGAAGGGAAAACTACGTTCATTCCTGTTTATGATTAACTCTGTTTCTCAAGGATTGGGCTGTGCCCCACCTGTAACCTTAACTACAGATGGTTCTACACTGTCTGTTCCAGGAAATGGCAATGATGTCTTTGTTTCTAAAAGTTGTTTATAACCATCTTGCAACCCTACCTTTGTTTCAAAAGGTTATTTGTCCACCTATGACTAGCTTGTTATGATGACTAGTTGTTATGACTACCTTGTTATGCCCACCTTGCGACCATATCTTTGTTTTAGGAGGTCATTATGACTAACTTGTTATGCTTATGTTCTGCTCCTGAAACCCCGCCTATTTTGCCCACCAAATCCCCCATTTGTAAACTCCCTTCCCCTGAGCTATAAAAGCCTTGTCTTCCTCACATCCAATGCTGACCTCTCCAACTCTGCCTTAGGGGGAGGCAGCCTTTGTACATGAATAAAAATGTTTGCTTGCCGGGCGGTGGTGGCGCACGCCTTTAATCCCAGCACTCAGGAGGCAGAGGCCGGCGGATCTCTGTGAGTTCCAGACCAGCCTGGTCTACAAAGCAAGTTCCAGGAAAGGCGCAAAACTACACAGAGAAACCCTGTCTCGAAAAACCAAAAAATAAAATAAAAAATAAAAAAGTTTGCTTTAATTAACTGCTTGCTTTAATTAATTGGCCATCATGAGTTGGTGGTCTTCTCTTCCCATGTTTGGAATTAACACATTCAAGTCTCAACTCAAATGTTCCTTTGTCAGAAAGGCTATTTCAGACGCCCTCTCTAAAACAGGACACCCCCATAATACTTGTCACTCTATTAAGGGTTCCAGGGATTGAACTCTGGTCACCAGGCATGGCAGCAAGCATCTTTGATCTCTAAACCATCTTGATGGCTGACTTTTCCTGCTTTACAAATAAAAGCCATACATCCCAAGAAGCCCCTCAGTCTAGAGCAGCAGTTCTCAACCTGTGGGTCACGACCCCTTCTGAGGAAGTCGAACGACTTTTTCACAGGGGCCACTTAAGACCAACAAAACACAAGTATTTACATTTTGATCCATAACAGTAGCAAAATTACAGTTATGAAGTAGCAACAAAAATACGTTTATCTGGCCGGGCGGTGGTGGCGCACGCTTTTAATCCCAGCACTCGGGAGGCAGAGCCAGGCGGATCTCTGTGAGTTCGAAGCCAGCCTGGGCTACCAAGTGAGTTCCAGGAGAGGCACAAAAGCTACACAGAGAAACCCTGTCTCGAAAAACCAAAAAAAAAAAGAAAAAATACTTTTATGGCTGGGGGGTCACCACGACATGAGGAACCGTGTTAAAAGGGCTGTAGCATTAGGAATGTTGAGAACCCTGGGCTAGAACAAGTCATAAGGATTAGTCCTGTTTCCCAGGGGCCTAGGTAGCAATAATTAAGGGACAGACTAGCTGTCCGTACAGAATTATTCCATCCTGGCTCTAGGGGGCAACCTTCCCCAGCCTTGAACTTTCATATTCAGCTACGCAGGTCCACTAAAACCTTGTAGACCTAAATTTAGCTTGTGAGTTTTCTTAGATTCTTCTGCCCAGACCTTACCTCATCACCCTGTCCTCCCTTATCCCCAAGGAGTTCAGAGCTGAAGGCCTTGGTTATGCCAGCCCAATGCTGTGCCTGACCCAGGGGAGGGGGACCTAGCTTTCTCTCTCTCCACTTCTGATTGTTTGTTTGTTTGAGACAGGGTTTCTCTGTGTAGTCTTGGCTGTCCTGGATCTCCCTCTGTAGACCAGGCTGGCCTCGAACTCACAGAGATCCGCCTGCCTCTGCCTCCATACCTGTCTATCTCTCCCTACTTCCGCATTGCCATCTTCGTCCTGAGGTCAGGCCTGTGGACCAGAGAACTTCAGAAAGAACTGGCTTAGAAAGGAAGCTGCGGGAAGCTGTTCGCAGGGAGGGTCCCAGTCACTGAGCACCCCAGCTTTTGAGGCTCCAGGAAGGACCCAGATTCAGGGATATCTTGGCCTTAGAATGCTGCTCCACAGGGCTGGGGTGACCGTCTGCTCCTCAAACAGGATCTTAGAGCTGGAATGGAACTACTTGAGTCCTTCACTTCTTGCCTGGAAGCCTAGAGCTCTGTTCTCAACCTCAACCTGGAGCGGTGGTTCTCAGCCTTCCTAACGCTGCGACCCTTTGATACAGTTCCTCATGTTGTGGTGACCCCCAACCATAAAATTATTTTCATTGCTGCTTTATAACTGTAATTTTGCTACTATTGTGAACTGTAATGTAAATATCTGTGTTTTCGGGTGGTCTTTAGGTGACCCCTGTGAAATGGTCATTTGACACCCCCCACCCCTCCAAAGAGTCGCCACCTACAGGTTGGGAACCACCAGCCTAGAGGTTCTCTCAGAGGCCAGGATGATGAGTGAAAAGATGCCAGTCAGAAGCCACAGTCACTTTGACAGAAGCTAAAAGGGCATCAGGAGGCAGGGGATGATGTTACAACCACTGTAGCCACCTAGGGAGAGCATCATGAGGCCCCAGCCATAGGACCCGGCTGAATCTCTCCTTCCCTTTCCTTGGGAGTATGGAATGTTGATGTTTGGGAAGCAGAGGGCAGGTAAATCCTGTGTTTACCTCAACATGGACTGCAGCCTGGGGGCTATGGCGCTGATTCACTTGGGTGAGTCCGGTGAGTCCCCGGAGGCTGAAGGGGGCGGAGGAAGAGTCAGGCTGCAGCTGTGAGGTGGAAGGGCAGTCACCAAAGCCTGGCACACAGAAGGATGAAGACTCACACCCACCGAGACTGGAATTTGGGATGGGTTCATTACATGAGCAGGCAGATCCCTGGTCATGAGGGCAGGGGTGAGTCAAGGACTAGACATTGGTTCTTGCTTCTTCCAGAGTAGGGATTCAAGAATGGCACCTGAGGGAGGTCTAAGTGGCCATGCTTGATGACCCCTTCTGGAGGGGGAAAGGATGCACCAGCAATTCGGGGGGAAGGGAGGGGGAGGCAATAGAAGTACAGCTATGCCATGAGCTGGGTGGAAAGGAACAAAGATAGACCCATGGGGGAGCCACAAGGGAGGTGGAAGGGACCAGTGGAAGGAAAGAGGGAACCTCACTGACACCTCTCACATCAGAGCACCACACACACACACACACACACACACACACACACACACACACACACACGCTCGCGCACTGCTTTGAGCATGAGCGATACAAAGCCTGAATTCAGCAGAACTACTGTAGCAGGTAAGAGGTTTGCAGGGATCCCGTAAGCCATTTCCTGCTCAGTGACCACTGATTTTTCCCCCAGAGGACCCTGGGAATAGTGCGTAGCAGGCTGAGTTCCAGGAATGGGGCAGGGAATATGGAGTTCCAGGGGAAGCCTGTCTTAATTAGGGTTTCTACGGCTACAACGCAATACCATGACCAAAAAGTAAGCTGGGGAGGACAGGGTTTATTCAGCTGACACGTCCACATTGCTGTTCATCAATGAAGATGTCAGGACAGGAACTCACACAGGGCAGGAACCTGGAGGCAGGAGCTGATGCAGAGGCCATGTAGGGGTGCTGCTTACTGGCTTGCTTCCCCTAGCTTGCTCAGCCTGCTCTCTTATAGAACCCAAGACCAGCAGCCCAGGGATGGCACTACCCACATGGGCTGGGCCCTCCCCCATTGATCATCAATTGAGAAAATGCTTTATAGCTGGATTTCATGGAGACATTTCCTCAACTGAGGCTGTTTCCTCTCTGATGACTCCAGCTTGTGTCAAGTTGACCCAGGAAACGAGCCAGTACAAAGCCTGATGCAGGTAGGGACCTGCAGGGGAAGCAAGTGGGTAGTGGCTGCATTCTGTAATGGCTCCCAGGTCCATTAGGGCATGTCCATGAAAGCCTGAAGAGTCTGGGCAGTCAAGGAGGTCAGGCTAGCATTCTAGTCACTCCTGCAATGTGTCTACATGGAGCATATGGCTGGCCCGCCCCTCCCCCTGAAGGTAAAGAACCTCGAGGAAAAGGAGGAGGAAGAAGAGGGTGAGGCTGGGGAGCAGAGAGCACTCCCTGTAGTCCTAAAGTTTTGGGAAGTCTGAACAGCTGAGACTGCTGGTCGTCTGCGGCGGTCCATCCCAGGCATGGTCGTCTGCGGCGGTCTCTCCGGTCTCTCCGTTGGAATTACAGACTTCCCTTTGGCTCTCTGCTTCCTTCTCTGGCTTCCATCTTTACACCTCCCCTGGTCTCTGATCAGGGCCTCTCTGAAGGGAGGAAATGGGCAGTGGATCTGGTGCCAGGAAGTCTTGGACTGTGCAACTTCCTCTCTGGCCCCAGCATTTCCTGAGTGGGATTTGGGGGCAGGATTGGGGCAGCTCTGGTGCTGGAAAGAGATTCTATTTCTGGCCCGAATGCCAAGTTGTCTTCATTGCCTTGTTCCTCCCTCCCCGACCCTAGCCAGTACTCTGGGGACAACTGAAGCAACCCAGCAGGCTGGCCTGTGACACAGGACTGGATATTTCATGAGGTCCACCTCACAGGACTTCTCTCCTGGGTCCTACAGCCACCACCCTGCCAGCAGCCAAAAGCAGACAGCAGGGAAGGCTGGACAGAGTCCCAAGGCTCAGCATAGGTGAGGACGGGAACAGTTGAGCCACAGGTTAAAAAAGTCTGGGAACACTGGAGGAGGGGCCCTGAGAGGAGGGGGTGGTCTGCAGGTGACCAGGTGGTCAGCTGTGGGGAGGAGGGGAGCTGTGTCAGCTGAGGAAAGCAGAAGGGACTGGAAGGAGGGGAAGTGGCCACCACTGGAGTGGCCATTTCTGAGCACTGACCATTCAAGGTCAAACAGGATGTCTCCAGAGCATTTGGCGCCTGCCTGTGTGTGTGTGTGTGTGTGTGTGTGTGTGTGTGTGTGTGTGTGTGTGTCCTTTCTCTGTTTCCCCTCCTCCTTGAGAAGCAAAAGCCGGGACTAGGAAGAGGTGGCTCTCCTCTGCATTTTTGTGTAACACAAGTTTTCTGAGTAACTGGCCTGCTCTCTGCTGCAGGCACCTCGAGACTTAAGCCTTGTGTCTTCCGTGAGCCTGTCCTCTCCCACAGGCTCTCCATCCTTTGGTCTTCACCTCAGGTCTTCTCAGTGATGGTTTCCTTGCCCCTCTCTCACTGATCTTGAGCACCAGCTGGAAGCATGTCCAGCCCCCAGACCTGCCTGTAAAGCCTGCCTGCCCATTTCCCCAACTTAGGGAAGGCAGCGACCAGCTTTCTTCTGCTCACATCACTGCCCAAAGTGGCCCACGAGTGACTGGCTCTGACCTGTTAGTCCTAGGAAGGTTTGGCTTCGCGCCCGTGGACATTCCAGCTCCCTGCTTCTGCCCCCACCCCAGGAATGGGCAGGAGAGGAGATGAGTAACTGAACTGGAACCACTCCTGAGAGAAGGAGCCTAGGAAAAGATTTAGAGGACTTTACAGAGCCAGGAGGCGGAGTCCGGATAAGGGGGGCCTGGGTGCTTGTCTTCATCTTTCCCCATGATTGCTTAGCGATAGCCAAGGTAGAAGTCCAGAGACCCTGGGAGGGGGCTGGCATCGGGCATGAACCCCTCTACTGTTTATTTAGGGTCGGTCTCCAGGCTGCCTCTTTTCTGCAGTCCCTTTGAAGGCCAACAGTTAACAACTTCTTTCACCCTCAAATGATGTGGCTAAAGCTTGTGAGTGACGTCAGCAGCACGGGACACGAGAGGAGGGAATAAGGAAGCATGAAGGAAGGGAACACCTTGAAAACAAACGGACTGAATCAACCCTTCTCACTGCCCCACATCTGCAGGTCCTCAGCAGGCAGTGCCTGATTTCCAGGGTTCCCCTTGACTTCATCTCCATCTGTAATCATGAAGCAAGCATCTCTTTATGCCAGATACTATGCTGATTAGGGAGACTGATCAGATTAGTGTGGGAGGGAGATGAAAAGATAACCCCACTGGACTTTATGTTCCCAAAGCCTTGGTTGGTTGGTTTTTTTTTGTCTGTCTGTCTCTCTCTCTGAGGCAGGGTCTCTGGTAGTCCAGGCTGGCCTTGAACTTGCTATGTAGCTGATGACAACTTTGGACCCTTTATTCTCTTGCCTCCTCCACTTCCCCAGGGCTGGGGTTACAGGCATGTACCACAACTCACGTATTCGGTGCTGGTGATGGAGTCCAGAGCTCTGTGCATGCTGGGCAAGCGCTCTGTCGACTGGGCTAGCCCACCAGCCTGTTCCCAGCGTTTGGGGGTGGCATCTGCTACCCAGTCTTACAGCACCGTTCCTGGCAACTGCGGTAAATGTCGAATGGATTCGAGATTTTTATTAATGGCCCTGAGGGACGACACTGAAGGATGAGGGAGGCGAGACAGGGGTAGCCATGGGGGGAGGCGGTTGAAGATGTACTAGACAGGAATATGGCTGTCATTACATACCCAAGGATGGCCCTACAATTAGCCATTAGGGTAACCTTGGGCACATTTCTTCACCTCTCTGTGCTCCAGTTCCCTTACTTGCAAATACAAGCTGTAGGGGAAAGAAAATGGCATTTAGGAGAGCTACCACTAAGATGAGTGGGCTGCCCACAGTAACTGCTGAGACCACCACTGGGCTGGAGCAGCTGCCCTCGGGAAAGGAGAGGCGTGCTCTTGGTTGAACCAACCACCCAGGCGACTGATTGGCTGGAGGAGAAGGGCGCTACCTTACAGGTTTCTTGCTTAGATGGTGGCAGGACTCCAGGAGCTGAGAGGCCCAAGGAAGGGGAGGAGCCCCCTGGGGCAGGAAGGGAGTGCTGGACACGTGGAGTTTTGAGGCTCCAGCACAAATCCAGGAAGCTGTGGGCTCAGTGTGTGCAAAGTCAGCCAAGAGGCCTAGCTGGAAGTGACACAGTCTAGAGTCAGAGCCTGGTTCTCAGACTCTCCCTCAGCAATCCCACCTCCATGCCCAGTCCCCAGGAGAGCTACCATTCGCCTGAAGAGACAGACAAGTCCTAGGGGACCTGTATTCAGGCAGAAGCTCGCTGAAGGGACAGCCTGTTATCAAATGGATTTGATGTGCCTCTCCCATCACCTGTCTGTTCCTTTCTGAGCACCAGAGCCAGAAGGCCCAGGGCATTCTATCTTTAAAGTAGGACTGCACAGATTCAATGGACCCTTGGGTAGAATCACTCAGTGCTCTACTGCTCTCCAGTTGGAAGACCTTGAGCACATTATTTAACATCTTGGAGCCTCAGCTTCCTCATCTGAAAAATGGGAAAATGATAATGCCATTTCACAGGACAATTAGGTGGATGTATATGAAGTATTCAGAACAGGGCCTAGTGCATGCTAACTCTATTATTGATCTGTCCAAGACACCTGCTGGGCATGTAATGACAGTTGGGGAGGGTGGATGCCGCCACAGGACACGGCATGATCACCTCCAAGATGAGCCATCTGGCCTGGGTGTCTTCTTCAGACATCCTTGCCCATCCCCTGACCCTCCGGGTCTCAGCCTCAATGGAACATCTAACGAGCAGTAATTGCACTGGCTAGGTCCCATCCCTCAATCCCGAGAAGACCCATTGCTCTGACAGGCGGCAGGAAACCTGACTCCCGCTAAGAAGGGACATCTAATCCTTTGGGTGGCTCTGGCCACCAGTGACGAGGTAAGCACAAAAGCCAGCATTGTGGCTTCCTAGGTCGGAGAGGATGAGGGCAGGATGAGGCCAATAAGTTTGGGACAGCCATTGTTGCCCATCTGAATGTCCTTCTTCGGCTGCTTCCTGTGTATTCACTACTTCTCTCGCTGCCGTGACAAAGGCAACATAAGAGCAAGGGTCTGAGTCACCGTTTGAAGGTCCAGGCCATCAAGGAGAAGGCATGGTGACAGGAGCATTAGCTGGTCACATCGCACTGGCAGTCAGGAAGGGTGAACGTGGCGCTCAGCTCACTTTGGCCTTTTCGTTCACGGAGGGACCCTGGTCTGCGGGGACGGTGCTGCCCTCATTCGAAGTGGGTCTTATCTCTAAAAACACCTTCAAAGGTGCCCAGAGGTTTGCCCCTCAGGTGCTTCTGAGTCCTGTCAGATGGATAATGAATATTGGTGTCATACCCTGCCCGGCCCTGGCTGCCACACACACTGTCTCTTCTCACACCCTTCGTACCTGCTCACAAGGCATTGCGGTCTAGAGAATGACAATATGGTGAGAGAGCATACGCAGGACATCCTGGGGCTGAAGCAGAGCCAGACAGCCTGGATAGGATTGCCAGTGGATAGGAAACAGAGCCAGGAGCATGGTTAGATCGACAGGTAAGCAAGTGTCCTACCTCCTCTCACAACGCCTTTTCCCTCCTGCCCTAAGTGGGGCAACCGGAACAGGAAAGAGGGAATTTCCTACTCCACAGTCAGTTTCAGGGAACTCTTTTGCAAGACCTTCTAGGCATCCTGAGTGGCACCATGGAACCCCCAAACCCTAACTCTTTCCCCGAAGTGCTACCCATTTCCTATCCTTTTAGGCCAAGTGTCCAAGCCGTTCTCTAAGTTCTAGGAACTTGAGTTGTGGGCTGGACTCCTTCCCAAGTTCCCTTCTTTGCTCAGAGAAGCACGGAAATTTTCACTAGTGTGTCTCAAAGGGTGGGCACCACAGATGACCTGAAAATGTTTGTCCAAGGTACAGGTTTTTTGTTTCATGTCAGTAAGATGGAATCAGAATTTGAGGAGTTAAAACGTACATGCACATACACCCCAGGGAGAGAAAAACTGTTGAGAGACACACACACACTAAAATTCAGGTTTTTAATGATGATTAAAATTCTTACATCAAGAAATCAGTTCTGGGTGGAAATGGGCTTATATGCTGGATTTAGCCCCCACCCCTCCCCCAGATTTAATGGCAGTGGGGAAGGAGAAGAGAAGGGGCGAGGGGAGAATCCTAGAACGCTGGGGGCGGGACCCGCGCCTTCTTCTAAACCCTCCTTAATGTCCTGAGCAATTGCCAGGCGCCATGGAAATCGCTGTCCCAGGTCACATTCTCTGTCCACTCAGAAGCAGGCGTGAGTGAGACGAAGTGCCCGTCATCTGTGTGTCGGTGGAAGTGAGCCCCAGGGGGTGTGGAGCCTCTGCCTTTACCTAGCCCGGCATAGGGGAGCACTGGGGGGGGGGGGGCGGTGAGAGGCGTGGCCCTCTGAAGTCCACAAATCCAAAGCCTGGCCAATCCTTGCATCCACGCGACCCTCTCTCCATCTGGAACGCGGTCCCTCCCCTCCAGCCTCAACTTCCCAACCCGCAAGATCGGGAGGGCAGAGGTGGGAAGCCAGGCAGCGGGATTCCCCACAGGAAGGCTGCCTAGTTCCAACCCCGAGCTGCCGGAGACCCTGAACCCAAACGGGAGGCCGGACGCCCCTGGCCAGGAAGCAGCCCCAGCCCGGATTTCCCTCTCGGGTGGGGCGGCCATGACTCACTCCCTCCCCCTTCCCTGGTTTCCTTGTTTGCATTTCTCCTCCTGGCCACGTGGCGGCGGGTGCAGCCTTCACCGGCCCCTAACCCCGCACCGGGGCTGCGACAGGGGCATCCACCCGAAGGCACTTCCTACCCGCTGGGGCTTCGGGTCCGGAGCCCTGAACCCACTGACGTAGTCCCGGCTAGGGACTCCATCAGCTGTGGGTCCGGCCCCTTCCCCGATGTCCACCCCTACCGTAAAGCCTGTGCCTGTTCCCCGCCCCCTCGGCTGGTCCCGGGGAGGGGAAGGGGCGGGCAGCGCCGGGGGTGTGACAGCTCCCGCCCGGATCAGTGCCAGCTGCAGCTTCGCTTGAACGCCCTGTGCCAGCTGGCTCTTACATCTGGGACGGAGGCGGAGGCTCGACGTTCTTAGTCTTTGGGGAGGGGTGGGGGTTCCCCCACGCCCCCCACCCCACCCCCAGCCCTCTACTCACCCAGGACGAGCCCCTCTGCCTAGCCCGGCATCTTGCTGCTCCGGACGACCTGTCCTGCTGGGAACTGGCCCTTCGCTGCGGCCTGGGTGTCGCTGGCACCGACACCCCTCCAGGATTCCCGGGCAGAGCTGCGCTGGAGCGCGCCAGGGATCCTCCAACCTCTTGCTAAGAGCGTGCACCGCTGTGTGAGCTGGAGAAGAAACATGAAGGTGGGTAAGGTGGGGCCGGGGTTAGGGCCAAGGAAAGCTGCTGGAAAGGGCGGGAGAGGAAGCCGACACGTGGGGGAGTTTGGGTGGGAGAGGGTGGCGGGGAGGAGAGTTTGAGGCAAAGCTGCTTCTGGGGAGCTAGCTGGTGTGCGTACAGCCTCAAGCCGGGAGAGGTGGACATGCCTGCAGGACACGGGCAGTGAGGCGGGGCAGAATTCCAGCGAGACTGAGAAGGGCCCCATCTTTGTGAGCCAGCTGGAGACCCCTAGGTGCGCCAAGCCAGCAGGACCCGGGGCAGGTCTTCCTGTCCCTCCCCCCGGCTCCTGGCAGGCTTGCCGCACCTCCGCCTGACCAGTCCAAGTCCAGAGGACGCTAAGCCTGGGCTTGGCAGTGTGGAGGTTCGGCTCCTCCAGCCGACGGCTGTCGACTTTTCTCCTCACCTCACAGGTCAGCTGGCCAGGTGAGAACCACTGGCAGGTGGGCCCGGCTGTGGTGGAGAGCCCGGCGGTGGGGACACCGCAGGTGGGAAGTCTCCCTGACGTGGTCCCGGAGGGCACGCTGCTCGATATGGTGCTGAAGAGAATGCACCGTCCCCGGTGCTGCTCCTACCAGCTGGTGTTCGAGCACAGGCGGCCCAGCTGCATCCAGGGACTTCGCTGGGTGAGTACCCTCCATCGGCCAGGCTGAACCAGGGCTGGAAGAGGAGGCTGGGCTGCAGTGCTGGGGGGCCAGCCAGCTTGCTGCAGGCGTGCAGAGGAAAACGTTTGGGTAGATAGAAGGCAGGGTAGCTTGGTGACCGTATGTGTGGCTGATCACGTAACTGGAGCCTGTGTGTCTGTGGGTAGGGTGCCCGGTGTGTGAGGTGCTGGGCTGCCCCCCAGTAGGGCTTTATCGTTTATCCATCGCCTCCGTGTGCCAGGCATTGACTTACGTGCTGTGAGTTCTGTCTGTGTGGCAGTGGGAGATGTGCGGCCAGGTCAAGTGGGGGTAAAATTAGCTTGGTTACTGTTCTTGACACATCACCGTGGCAACGGTCTCCTTTAGTGAACAATTGAACTGGACTGAATCTGTTTTTTTTTTCCCCCCTCTCTCTCCTGGGGTGAGGCATTTGTGTGGATAAAGCTTGGCACCTGGCCACCACGGGGACTGAAGAGGTTTCGGAGTGGCTAATGACTGCCTAAGGAAGGGGATGGGAAGGAGAGGGACTAGTGGGGGCGGGATGGGGTGGGGTGGTAGGAGCCAGTCTTGAGAGATAATCTCTTCTCTCTTCGAGCCACCAGGCTTGACAGTCCTATCTGCATGCTGTGTATACCCGTGTGTGGGTGGTGTGTGTGTGTGTGTGTGTGTGTGTAGGGGGCAGAGGGTACTGAACTTAGTGAAGGCTTGAGAGAGGGCAGGAGTGACTTACAAACTTGGAAGGGTCCTCTCTCACCAGCAAGTCCCTTTGAGTAGCAAAACCATCACCTCCTTTTCCTACCTCGTCCAAACACTGTTTCCATTTTTAATAAAGGGGCAGGGGCTGGGTTGAGAGAGCCCCAGGTGGGTCTAGAGGAGGAGCCCCTCTGCACTGGAGGTGACTCTCTACTTGCCCTTCTCTCCCTGGGTTTTTCTAAGAGGGTGGGGGGGGGCTGGCTCTACCCCACATCCCCACGCAGGCTCTGGGCCACCGTGGTAGTTCCTGCTGGTTTCCAGCCGCCTGCAACCCTCCCTCCGGCCTTCCCCTTCAGGCTATAATTACTTGTGCATTTCCTGTCCCCTTCCCAGCTTGGAGAAGCTAGGTAGGAGATGGGAGAAGGTCAGTTACCAGGACAATGAGGTCGCTGGGGAATCTCTTGGGATCCAAAGTCAGGGAGAGGGTGGAGGAAGTCGCCGGCCAGTCTCCTAACTCCCCTAAGACTTCAGAAAGGAAGGAGGAGCTTGCATGGGAAGCTGGAAACATAAAAGTGGGGGGCTGCTGGAGTGTAAACGGGGTCAAAGGTCCAGAGACAAGGCCCACCTCTGCCATGTGTGGGGGCGAGTGGGGGAGGGCTGATAACTAAAGTGTTTAGGTTTTTAGGGCTAGAGACCACTGTCCCCCAGCTCTCTATCATGCTCATTCCTGGGGGGTGGAGTGAGGTGGGACCAGTCTATCGTGCCTGTGTTTAGGAGCTCTCTGGCCTCCTTCCAGGCTGCACCCCTTGACTCTCTTAAGGCTCCTTTGGCTCATGAAGTGTTCCCGTAAGGGAACAAGCCCTATCAGGGTGTGTGCATGTCCAGGGTGAAGAAGGTGAGCCCAGAGCCCAGGAAGACAGGGCTGGGCTGTTCAGGCTACACCCACCTCTTTAGAAAGCCCAGGAGAAAGTGGGTTAGCCTTCTGAAGTCGAGTTCATCAGAGACCAGGACAAGAGGGGATGAAAGCCAGGTACATATAGCAGCGCGGGGGGAGGGGGGGGAATGGGAGTGGGGAGGGGGAGGGGGTGGAGGTGGGGGGGGCTCTCAAGTAGTTGCAGAAAGGACTTACCAACTACGGCCCCATGTTGATACAGCATGGGGTGAAAAACACTCTGGAAAAACGTGAGGGAGAGGTGAAGTCTTGTATTATATATGAGAGCAGGAGAAAGAGCGTGACCTTGGGTGAGCCCCACAGCCCCGGGCAAGCTTGGAATGATTCTATTCATATGGCAGTTTGGGGCGGGGGAGTAGCTTTATCCCCAAAACAAATCCATCCGAATAATGACGGTGGCTAAGAGTCACACTCCTTGTGTCCCGTGCCCTGTACCAGCTACATCTTGGTCCCATTAAATATACTCAGCAGCCTGGTGGGATCAATGCCAATGGTTTCATCTTACAGATGGGAAAAGGAAGCACAGAGAGGTCAGGCAGCAGGAGAAGGGCTGCACAGCTGCCGAGTGGCCGAGCTGGGCTTCGTACCCAAGATCTCCCTGCAGAATAGCTTTGACTTCCCCGTCTGTGTCCCTGCTCCTTGCACAACCTGGCCTAGGACCTTAGCCGGGGCCAAAGGAACTGGTCTGGTGGGTCTCCACGCTGTCTGGCTCCCTGACTGACTGTCCCTCCAGCCAAGCTCTGATTCTTAGTGACAGGGAAGGAAGGTGGGGCAGGCATCAGACTACTGTCAGCAGCCCCTTTCCCACCTCGAATCCTCCCTGCCCTCAGCTGAGAAGCATTGGTAGGTGAGGGCCGAGGGTCACCACTTGACCCACACCAGCCATTTACTTTCCAACCGTGAACCTCAAAATGATACTCAAGGGTCATGAGATCAAGACCAGGGCCAGCCATAGCCCGTCTGTCAAGGCAGTGGGTACACATAAGAAGTGAGAAAGCTGGACTACTGCATTAACGTTTGCCAAGCAGTTACCGTGAGGCAGGCGCCATTCCATGGCCTTGAGATTATTAGCCTCTTTCAATAATATGATAATAACTCTCTGGGGGTAGGTTTCCCCTTCTCAGACAAGAAGCTGGTCCATAGAGAGCTTAAGTCGGCATAAGGTCACGCACCCCCTGGCTGTCGTTCCGAAAGCAGCATTTGAACCCAGGCATCTGGCTCCGGAGGCCACACAGGTGCCCACTGCCGCTGCTCATTAACGGTCCCCTCCCTGCCCATTCCCAAGGTCCCCATCCGCAGGAGCATTGTAGGGGCACGGGAAGGCTGTGGTAACAAGCGCGTCCCGAGGGCTGAATGCCTCTGCTCTTTCTGTGGCTGTGACCTGCCCTGGGGGAGGACAGGGGTGCAACTCTTGAGAGGGGAGGGCTGCTGCCGAAAGCGTGGGCTGTGGAGTCAGACAGGCTCTGGTGTGAATGCTGTTTGCCACCTGTTAGGGTGGCTTATGTAACCTTTCTCTGGCTGTGAACTAGAATACAAACACCTCCTTCACACGGCGACAACATCTAGAATCTTCCCTTTCTAGGCAACTGTGTGACCCTAGGCAGTGAGTTTGACGCTCAGGGCTTCAGCTCTCTTCAGCGAGATCAAATGCCTTGTGGTTGTGTTCTCAAGCTACTGCGCTCTGACTCCCATGCCCATCCCTTGGGGTAGGGCAGGAAGTGACCAGCTTGGTCATGTGGCCTCTGAGGTCAGGATAATTCCAGGAAGGGTGGGCTAGGGATGCAGCTCACCCTAGAGAAGAGCGCTTGCTTAGCGGGCTGGGAGCCCTGTGTGGTGGCGAATCCCGATATCCTAGCACCGAGGAAGTGAGGCAAGATGATCAGATGTTCAAGGTCATCCTCAGCTGCTTAGTGACTTCAGCCTGGGCTGCAAGCAACCTTGCCTCCAAAACAAAACATCAAAAACCAGAGGCTGCGGAGATGGTTCTGTGGATAAGCATTTGCTGATCTTGCAGAGGCCCTGCGTTTGGTCCCTGGTAACACGTCAGGCAGCTCACAACTCCCTGTAACACCAGTTCCAGGGAATCCGACACCCTCTTCTGACTTCTATGAGCACACACGTGAGCACGCGCATGTGCACACACACACACACACACACACACACACACACACACAAATCTAACAACGGTAATAACAGAGTTCACACTAGAGCCTGAACTGTGGGCACCAATGGGAGCTGGGGCAGGAACTAGGGTGACTCGGGCATTTTGACATGAATAACAAGAAGTCATTAGCACTCGGGCACTGTTTGTTCCAACACAGGGCCTGGCTGGATAGCATTCCTGCCCTTCTTCCCTTCCTGGCTCCTCCTCCTCCTCATTTCCTGTCCTTAAGTCTCTAGGGCTGTGTGTCTGGCACTGGCTTGGGCCCGATGACCCGGGCAGGGATACCCTTGGGACACCTAGTGACTTCCGCCAAATACTGGACTAGGCACACATGCCAGACCTCTAGACCTCTGCCGGGGTATAGTGACAAAATGCTTGTGCCTAAGACCTGCTGGGCTCGGGGAGAGGACTTGGATGCCAGCTCCCAGCCAATGCTTTTCCAGGTCCTTGAGTGCAGGCAGGTGTGGTGGGTGGAATGGGACTGGTAAGGAGATCATTTGGGTGGGAGCTCCGGTTTAGCCAAGGCTGGCTGGCAGTCCTGCACGTGCATGGCTGCCTTACGTGGGGTACTTGAATTCACCTCAAGACTTGTTTCCCTGTAAGTCACAAGGAAGCAGACCGTCTCTGCTCTGCCTACCGCACCTAGGATGGGGTGCTATCAGGGAGGTGGATGTGCTCTGTGAGCTGTCAGGGGTGCTTTGGGAGGGCTTGTAGAGAGTAGGGCAGCCTACCCAGAGCTGTTCATAAACTCTCCGTATTCAGATGGTTGGAAAAGAGGGTTGTGAAGGGGCCTTCATGGCTGATATGCCAGGGCACAGGTGTCCTGGAGTCCCTGGTAGTGACATTGCTCCCAAGAGCCTTGTTAACCGATGTTTCTATGGTAAACCAGTCTTATGGGCTGCCAAGGCCTTACCCTCCCTTACGGGGCTGTGGCTTGCAGTATCTCGTAGAAACAAGCCTCCCAGGCGCAGCCTCACCTGTGCCTCATTGAATAACCAAAGCTGACATGTGCACAGCCGTACGCCTGGCAATGGTTTAACATGCGATCTGTGTCGGCTCCTGGGGGCCTT